AAATGTATGCAGTTCAAGCAACAGTCTTGCAAGCAAAAAAAAACCAAATTGGAAATACAGGGACACCTGCTGCAGCCCTTGCACTGCAGTTACCCCTATGGGTGACCCAATACCTCTACATCTTTGAAGCTGCTTATTTACTTCTTACTCATTATGATTAATCCTTGTAGAGTATAGGCCAGTAAAACTTAATAGGAGCAGTGGTTTCCTATCTCATTTCTTTAGGGACTTTCTTTTCAAGATTTTTTTCTTAAACAGGACAAGTGGTTTCAGAGATTGGGCAAAAAAGGCTATACCTTACCTTGCTGATCATGGAGAAATTTGTACCTTAGGAAGACTTCATGGTCATGGAACCTGTATTCAGATTTGGAAGGAATATTCCCTAAGAAAGCTAAAGGTATTGTCTTTTTGTTTTGATAAAAGTAATAATTTTTAGTAATTAGCTTGCTGAGTTAAGGCTTACTTTGATGGATGTTTTCTTATTCATATGACTAAACTTCGTTAAATAGGACTGTATGACTACAGTTGATACACAAAAGTAGTTTCAGGGATCCATCCCTATGCTGTACTAATTTCTAACCTTTAAATAAAGTAGTTGAAATAAACTAGTTAAGGGAGCTTTTCCTTTTGCTGTCAGTTAATTCGGTATTAGCCAGCATTTGTTAAAATCACATTCAAGGCAGAGTTACATATTCCCTGTGGACTATGTAACTGAGATGGAAAACATGTATACTGCTTAGATAATGTTTTACTTTCTTAGACTACATTTGCAGCCTTAGTAACATGAATGTTTTTTATCCATTTTTTTTTCAGAGAGAAGAGGATCCAGGACATTTCTTCTTTTCCTTTTAAAAATTGCTGAGAAACTACTAAATAAATTATTTCTGTTTCTTAAAATAAACAGTTTGCTACCTGCTTTCTTGTGCCTTTTAGTACCCAAGATGAATGAGGCATGCATATAAGATTGCTTACATGTATGTGACACGAAGTAAGGATAGCAGTATGATTAGGAATACCCTTGTCAAATACTGGCATTTATTGCTGAATTCAGGGAGTTTCTAAATTATTTTGTCTGTTAGAAACTTGTGCACTGGGAATGATGGGCAGGGAGATTCGGAAATTCTACCTAAATGTTGAATTACTCCTTAGAGACAAGTGGAGAGTACAAGGAGTGCTTCAGGGATCTTGACTGGCTTGCCGTCTTTTCTTCATAAGCAGGTTGGGCACAGGTTTGAGGATATGTAGCAGCCCTCTTCAAGAAACAGATGCCAGTTGCTAGGAAGCACTAGGCTAGGGTGAGTCTAGAGTATATTTGACTCAGTAAGTGCACTTATCAATATACTTACCTGATACTTAGCTCGGGTCTCCAGTATGAGGGTTTAGGCACTTGTCATGGGGCCAGGAGATCCAGCCTGTTCCACAGCCTTTAAGCACCAGTTCTGCTGCCTGTACCCATGTAGGGCCATGGTGGTAAGGCTGAGTATTTACTTCTAGATCCTTGAAGAACTTTTTGCACAAGAGTCATACTTACCTTTCCCTTGGTGTAGCAAGCACAAGAATTTTCATATTTTTTTCATATTTGAATTACATTTTTTGAAAACTTTTTTTTTTCTGTCTGTCATTACAAAATTGTACTGTTTCTTCTACATTACTGATTTACTGCACTGGAATCCTGAAATCATGCAATTCAGTTGGAAGATTAATGAGGTGTGATTTCTTTTTCCAGAGTAAATTCTAAAAGCTGGAGGCCACAGGAGACATGCACAATTTGTTATTACAGTTTATATTTTGCTTTGGGTAACTATACTTCATTCCACTGGGAATGCAGTAGGTGTAAAAAGTCATTTGCCCTGTTACATAGGGGCGTATACTGTTTATTACTAATATTTTCTTTTCTTACTTTGTAATGCCTACCAAAGCATCTAAATTTGTTGTCCATATTTATTTAAATAACTTTTGCTCATATTAATATTTTAGAAGCTTGAAAGTGACCCCACTACAGCATCAGTTCTTCAAAGAGAGATGCACATGCCAGATTTTATGTGCTGTGAGTAATCCCATTGGCTTCAAGGGAAATGCCCAATGCTTGAAGTTTTAAGTCTTTTTAGGAGCAGGTCTTACTTTTTATGCTGTTGAATGCTAAGAGATTGCCATTGTTGTCTTTCTTTTTAAGGGGCTGGTGAATGTGTTAGGTGCAATTCACTCACTTTCCTGGGAAGACCTGTAAAAACTTGCATGGACAATGGAGAGTGATACATACCTACGGCTTCACCATATTTTCTTGACAGCGTCGTTTCAGCATACCATAACCCATGTCACATTTTTTGCAAGGTGTTTCATGTTATAGATAAGCAAATATACACACACACACATGTATGTGCGCACACACACTCGGGGCTTCCTTGTTAAACTGTGCTGCTGGTATCTCTTCCTTTGATTGAGGTGCAATACTGAGGCCTGAGCTCGATGTATGTCAATGATAGCCTTCTAGCAGTATTTTACCTGATGTGTTCCTAGTGCCACTGGCCATTGCATCCATTTTTGGAAATGGACATTTCTCAAAAGTGAAAAAAAATATTCTCGCATGAATCAGCCATTCTTGCTGAACATGACCTAAAGAAAAAGGAAATTCACCTTGAGGATAATCAAGCATCAGAATAGGATGCTCAGGCATCTTCCATCTTTGAAGGTTTTCAGACTGACAAAGCCTTAATTAAGCTACTCTGAAATCAGTCTTGATCCTACTTCGAGTGGTATGTGGGACTCAGTAACTTCCGAGGTTCCTGGCGGCATTTCCATGCCATGATACGGCATTGCAGTATAACTTCAGGGAATGGTCTAGAATAGCAGTTATCAGATTTTTCCATTGCTAACTCCATTTCCAGATCTGAGGTTCATTTTTGTAGTGGGAAGTTTCACAGGAGTTCCAACCTCAAACCTCAGGATTCCTGCCCCTTTCTTGAGGAGTTTAGAGTTTGTGGTATTGTAACTTCAGTTAGAAATTTAGTAGGATATTTATTTATCAAAAATATTTTCATGCCTAGCTGTTGCAGCCTGACAGCTGGTGTTTAATTCAGGGCCTCTCAAAGAGGCAAGTTGAAGAGTACTAGAGTATAATATTTGGGGAGCCACTGAAAGGAGGTGACAGACCTTGGGTTTGGAACAGTAGGAGTAGGAGCCTATGCCTCCAGGAAGCCCATAAGCATTTCTCAGAGACTTTTCTAAAAGGCAGAAGACTTGACAGCTCCTAGCTTCCATACTTTGCCTTCCCTCCTTCTTTTAATACCATCTGTTCAGATTCTTTAGAAAGAGTTTTTTGAGTACAGCCCCTTCCTTTGTCCCTCTCCCTACCCTGACTATCTTTTCACAGCCATGCACTTTCCTTCCCTTAAAATATGCCTTTTGTACCTCCTGTAAGTAATTTTTTCTCCATTTAAGTAGCACTTATACTGATGGGATGAGATGGTGCAGAATGGAGCATGTGAAAAAACTCAGCTGCCAAAAGATTTTAATTTTTCAAGTGGCATAACATAATCAGTTATATTACACAACTAAGTAATTCTGTATTGATTATTTCATCTTGATTGCATGTCTGAAAAAATTCAATGAAATGTCTCTCATACCTTGTCCTAGAGACTAGTTTTATGGATATTTGGAAGCTACTAATGTGCATAATGAGCAGAATAAAATGTATTTATGTAAAACTGTTAAAAACATCTGAAAAAAGGGAAACTAAGCATCTTAGTGTGCATCTTTATGCTCAAGTCAGTATAAGATAAAAGTATAATATACTTTTTTTGTAATTAATATACTTAATTATTCAAAGGGACGTTTCCTGGGAATGACAGTGACTGTAGGAAAGTATTAGTGAAATCAGGATTTGTTCCTGGGTATTCCTACTGATTTTTTCTGAAACTGTGTTGAACTTCATATTCTGGCATGCAGTTAACACATTTCTGTAGGCGCACCTTCAGACTTTGAACTTACTGAGACTTTACTCTGAGCATCAGAACTAAAAGTTTTGCAGGAAGCCATCACATTTACTGCAGAAAAGTTGAGTTTAGTATTCCATCCACCAATAACAATGGCAGCTTAGTTACCTTTATTTTGCCTTTGCTAGAAATGCACATATGGGCAAATCATAGCTTCATGTCCACCCTTAACCACCTTTTCATAATTGTTTGGAACTGGCAAAAGATTATTTTGAAGGTGATGACCTTGCTTTCCAGATTTTTTTATAGGAATGTCTGTTCCTTAGGCTCACAGGACTGTAGCTTTCAAGGAGCAGAGGAATAGATTATTTTTATAGGCTTTAGACTAAACAACATTGAGAGGATGACCAGTCCACTCAGCCATAATAATGCTCCCTAAGCTTTTAAAAAAATTTCTTTACAGCACCTTACTCTGTTGTATTTTCCTACACAGTTGAACAGCCATACCATATGCAATTCAACTGCGGAGTCTCAAGAAAAAGCTGAGTTTCATGGTGACTGGAATGGTTATATGAAAAAGAAGCTTCCCAAACTGCTTGAGGATTTTCAGGGTGAAATAAGAGTATCAGTTGAAACTTTCTATATTTATGAATATAGAACTTTCTATATTTATGAAAGTTGAAAACAAATACATTTTTTAATATTACTCAAGCACAAGTCCTATGAGGAGAGGCTGGGGGAGCTGGGGCTGTTCAGCCTGGAGAAGAGGAGGCTCAGGGGAGACCTCATCACTCTCTACAACTACTTGAAAGGAGGTTGTAGCCAGGTGGGGGTTGGTCTCTTTTCCCAGGCAACCATCAGCAAGACTAGAGAGCATGGTCTCAAGCTGTGCCAGGGGAGGTTTAGGTTAGATATTAGAAAGAATTTCTTTACAGAGAGAGTGATCAGACATTGGAATGGGCTGCCTAGGGAAGTAGTGGATTCCCCGTCCCTGGAGATTTTTAAAAAGAGACTGGATGTGGCACTTAGTGCCATGGTCTAGTAACCGCAGCGGTAGTGGATCAAGGGTTGGACTTGATGTCATCTCGAAGGTCCCTTCCAACCCAGCTGATTCTATGATTCTATGATTCTATGATCCGGTGTCAGAGCTATGATTTTAACAGTCTTACAGCCTTTTTTTTCATACTACTTACATATCAGGAGAACACTGTTAAAAAAAAAATTGATCTGCTGTGCCTTCTTGAAACTGTATTAGAAAGGGCCCTCACTACTAAGTGAGTTATACGTGTGAGGAAAACTTGTTACTCTGCTGTCCTCATCAGATCTGCATATTGAGATCCAGCTGTATGTTTTTGCCAACTTTCATAACAAACAAGATTAGTTATTGACATACTGTTTTTTAATTTATTCATGATTGACACAGGTTGCAGTAGAGGAGAAACAGTTCCATACCCTACTATAATTGGATCAGACACCTTCAGGGTGTTTCTTAAATGCCAGGTTAAATGCTGCCATCACCTAAGAGGTAACATTCACAAAAGCTACTCAAACTTGGTGTTGATCTGGCTTGGCAGCTTCTTGTCAATGAAGAGAGAGATAAGCTCTTCTTCCAGGCAACACCTAAATGAGTCTTTTGCTTTGAATCAGTTTGGAAGGGAATTCCTCACTTCCATTGTCTGGAGCATATTCTAGAAGAGTGAGGTTCTTAAAGCCAATGCTATGCTTTGTAAATCAAGTCCTATGCTGAGAGGGTTAAGCTAAATATCCCTATGGAATAACTTTACCTGAATTAGTGGCAAAATGTAAAATGACATTTGCTGTCTCTACTGGTTGGGACAGCCCCCCTTTTCTCTGAAGCAGTGGCAATGGATAGGGTGCAGCATTAATCTCTTAGTGTATCTGTTCAGTGTAAATGTAAATGTTAAGACATTTTGTTTCTTTTTTTATTTATAAAATAAATATATATTGAATTGTTGTATAAATATACAATTTTGGCAAAAGTCACTCTAGCTTTCAGGTCTCAGTGAACAGAACTGGAAGAACTGTTCCGTTTATTTGATAGTAGCAACTGATACATCAATCAAAAAATAATCCTTATGAGTGATTTGTATGAATACTTGTTGCTGTTTTCCAAAGTATTCGTGATGTTGAGACCTAGGAGAAATGAACCCATGTATGCCACAGGAAATTGGGTTTCCTACTGGCAAGTTCACCCAATTAAAAAAATTTCTACTTATGAGAAATGTAGCATGCTGCTTTTTTTATTTCCCCACGGGAACATTTTCACATAGGAATCTGTCTGGTCTCCTGAGAAATCCCACAATAAGTCTTTGATAGTAGGAGATGAAATTTTTTGTATGCATCCCTTCATGGGTAGGGTTCAGAGGGCATGTAAATTACCGAAACCAAGGGACTCAGTGAGCATTTTTCTTGTAACACATCTGTAAATACACAAAATAGTCTAAATGGGAAGCTGTGTAACTTCAGAGCGCTTTAAGCTCTCCTCTGAGATTGAACTTGGATCATTTTAAAATAGTCTTCAGGAGCGATATTAAAGAATTTGCAGGGCTTATTCACTGTGCACGCTGTCTTGGGTAGCAGCATTTATTCTGTCAACTCTGTTTAAATTGGTAGTATTTTTAGAAAAGAATTCTCACTGAATCACTTAAAAAAAAAAAACAACAGAATTTTTGTGCAGTTGTCAGCATGTAGATCTCTGTAGGTCACAGAAGAGGTTTATACCTCCACACCAAAGAACTAGCTTTTGATTTGCTCACATGTAAAAAGCAACTGGTCCAGTAAGGAGTCATCTGTTAAGCCAGAAAGATTAGGGGGGTTTGCCTGCATATTAATTTTTAATATTCTATTTATTGTTATCAAACAACATGATGCTTTATTTTTTTATTATTATTTTTATGATTAAGAGAACAGTGCCACCACTCTCTTCCAGTGAGCTGTTCTTGATCTGAATTGTAAACTACATTCAGAACTGTAGCAGGCTTGGTGTTCTTGAGTGATTTTCAAGTCAGGAGAACATGCCTTCTCCCTATGTGTCTCATTTTGGGAGGTTTTTTAAAGGTATACCAGAACACTGTAAAATATAGTCCCTTTGTTCTATGAGCCAAAACAAAAACATGGTCTTCCTCTTTGAATAGGGTTTCGTCATAATGTTCATTGTTCCTTAGGCAGTTAATGCTGCTCTAGTTTTCACAAGGTTTTCTATTTTTCTTTCATGTATTGCTAGAAAAATCTGATTGTATAAGAACATAATTTATCTACCAGGTCAAGACAAAAGTCCTTTTATCCCACCATCCTGCTGATGATGGTAAAAAAAAATACTTATCGAGAAGTGTTAAAATAAACAAGCATACAGTGTAATTTCCTTTGATAAACCCTTCCACCCTCCAGCAGCCTGCGATTAAACATTTCTTGAGAGAAAAATTACACCACTGTGTATTTAATAATCCTTGCTATACTTTTTCTCCTATTGCTTTGTCTGATTGCTTTCTTGATCCGCAGTATTTGTTTCTTCCATAATACTGTATGACAGTGAGTTCCACCATTTAATTCCATGTTGTGTAAAAAAAACAGTGTTACAGTTTCTAATGTAGAATTAAATTTCCATAGCAAGAAGTTGGTAACATACCAGATTCTGTCCTGATCGATCACACTTTAATTCAAGAATGTTACCTAAGAGGGATACAGTTGACTAAATCCTTGTTTGTCGTAAGTTTCAATTTTTTTTTACCATATCAAATGAATAGACTTTGTTAATAAGTATTAAAAACATTGCTTTCAGCTACATCTAACTTTTTTCTATTTGGAAGAATATTTAGCTGGGATGAACCTTAAATTTCATCTAAATTTCAGTATTTGCATGGAACATCCTCAGCTACTGACCATGTCGTGAATATCAGGTCTTTTAGCTTTGCAGAGTTCAGGTCACAGTTGGTTAGGATATTGTTTTCAGAGATTTAATTAAACCAAACGTATTTCTTGCTGACATTTTTAGCTCAGGTTCATTCTAAAACTTCCAGGTAAAAAGTTTGGCCTTGGGCTTTGCGAGGATGTGTGCCGGCTAAGCTGGTTAATAGACATGGAGGGCTTAATGCTCATGTAAAGATACGGTAAAATAAAATTGATATAATTTGAAATGTTTATTTTCCAGAGCTCCTTTTGTAGGTTAAATGCACAGCAGTGACTTTTCTCTCTGTTATACAGAGGAACCAATATACTGTTATACACCACACAACTTCACCCGCGATCAAGCCTTGTATGCCAGAGGATATTGTTGGACAGAATTAAAAGATGCCTTGCCAGGAGTTGATGCCAGCCACTGGCCCTCCTTGTTTGAGCATAAGTTCCTACCTTATGCACTGCTGGCTTTTGCTGGGATAATGTACATTCCAGCTCTGGGCTGGGAATTTCTCGCCTCCACCCGGCTGACTTCAGAGCTTAATTTTTTGCTTCAGGAGATTGATAACTGCTACCACCGTGCAGCTGAAGGGCGGGCACCAAAAATAGAGAAACAGATTCAGTCCAAAGGCCCAGGGATCACCGAGAGAGAAAAAAGGGAAATTATTGAGAATGCAGAGAAGGAAAAAAGCCCTGAACAGAACTTGTTTGAGAAATACCTGGAAAGAAGAGGACGAAGTAACTTTTTAGCTAAGCTTTATCTTGCAAGGCACCTATTCATCATCTTTTTAAGCATCATACCAATCACATACTTATCCACCTACTATGCTACGCAGAAGCAAAATGAATTTACATGTGCTCTAGGAGAGCCTCCAGACAAAACTAGCAGCTCCAAATTGCACATCAGAGTGAACTGTAAGCTGCCGTCTGTCCAGCTCCAGCGGATTATTGCTGGTGTAGATATTGTTCTCCTCTGCTTCATGAACTTGATAATCCTTATCAACTTAATTCACCTCTTCATATTTCGGAAGTCTAACTTCATATTTGATAAACTGAACAAAGTTGGAATAAAGACCAAGAAACAGTGGCAGAAGTCCCAGTTTTGTGATATCAATATTTTGGCCATGTTTTGTAATGAAAATAGGGACCACATAAAGTCATTGAACCGTCTGGATTTTATTACAAATGAAAGCGATCTGATGTATGACAATGTGGTACGCCAGCTGCTTGCAGCATTGGCCCAGTCCAATCATGATGCTACTCCAACTATGCGTGATTCAGGGATCCAAACAATAGACCCAAGTGTTGATCCAGCAGACATTGATGCTAATGAACAGCTCATCATTAAGAGACCAAGGAAGAAGATGAAATGGATCCCGACTACCAATCCCCTTCCTCAGCCATTCAAGGAACAGTTAGCCATTATGAAGGTTGAAAACCATAAACCTGATAAACCGAAGCCTGTGAGGAGGAAAACAGCAACAGACAGCCTTATAGCTCCTTTGTTAGAGTCTGCTGCAAAAACCTCACAGCAATCGTCTGCTCATAAAACCGAGCCAAGTGCTATCCCAAGCACAAGCAGTGAAAAAAAGCACACACGGCACTTTTCCTTGGATGTTCATCCATATATACTTAGTAGCAAAAAACCCAAGCCAGAGGTTCAAGCCATCCCCTCGATGCCTACATCAAAAAGCCAAGAGGGTGGATTTTTAAACCAGGAAGAAAATGTTGTAGTTCACGTTACCTCCTCTCTCAAAGGTACAGTATGCCATAATGCCCATACCACCTCCACAGACCATAATTTGCATAGCAATCTTCAGGAACTCAAAGTTTATCTGAACGGTTTGACTTGCCTTGCTAGATTTTGGGATAGCTAATAATCTCAGGGCTTACAGGTCTCAGAAACAGAGGTTCTCTCTCTTAAAAAGCTATGTGGAGGGTAAGGATTATTACAGTAGAGCTGTACAAAACAGGATGCAGGCTGTTGATGTGGGCAGTTTTTTAAATGTAAGCATGACCACTACAAATGTGGTCATGCCTTGCCAAGGAAATGAGGAGCGTTTGGCCCCATGATACCCTTCATTCTCCACCAGCACCTGGCACATTTCAAACATGCCTTATTTTCAAGTCATATGGAAACTTCCGTGGTAGATGAGCAGTCCTCTGATCAGTAATAGCCCCTTAGGAGCATGTGGGAGACTAGTAATGGCAGTTAAAGCTGCCTGTAGAACAAAAATCTCTAACCACCAACTCTTACAAGTTGGCATGTGTTTGTCACCTAGGAAGTCACAACTCAGCTCATTGACATTGTCCTTCACACAAGAGATGCTTTAAATTGTCCTGTGTCTCATGTGGACCAGAGGATTGATAGTCTGAAGTGTGGGTGCTGGTCAGGGATTCAGGATTTCTGCCATTCCCTTCCTGTGTGGCCTCACAGGCGATGCTCTTTCTGTGCCTCAGTTTCCTATGTGTTTCCTGGAAAGCCTGTCCCTGTCTTAACTCAAAAGGAGTGTTTCAAATATATCAGTAATTGCTAGGTGCTAGAGTGATGAGGAAAGCCATTTGAACATTAAGAAAAGTGATAGATCAGTAGATAAACTGATAGACAGATATCTTCTTGTTTATTTTTGTAAGCTACTGACATAAGAAAGAAGCACTATGCAGTTGAAGTTACAGAAAAATCTGTATGTACTTAAAGCAATGGCTCTCATCTCATTACAAGCTAAGACCTCCCTCTGGGCTTCGACAGACTGACATCTACCGTCACCCCACTGCCCAGCAAAGAAGTGATTTGAGGTATAAAAGTTTCTGTCACTTCCGAATCCCTATGCTCCTTAGAGCCCTCCAACTCCCCAATATGCATGTGAGCTATTCTACAGCGTTCCTTATCCAGTTACCTGCTGTGATTTCAACTCCTCAAAACTACTGGGGTTTTATGGTCTCAATTACCTTTATCTAAATTAGTGCTTTAATATTTTAAGGGCAAAAAATAATTACAGGAGTTTTGGGGCTCTGTGACTCCCCATTTGCATTAAAAAAATTCAGCTTTGTTTTTGAGTTAGACCTACATTGCAGTCCATCAGGTAAGGTAGACTTATAATTTCTGGAAAGAGACATCAGTTAATGTCAAATTGCTGAGTTCTTTCTAAAGAAAAGTGGCTTACAATATGTAACCACTAGTTTTTACCATTGAAACTACCAGTGCCTTTTGTATTCCATCCTGTGGATTTCAATAGTCATAACGTTTGTCAAAACATTAAATCATAACATTTATAAAACACCGGCCATACTGTAGAGGGGAATAAAATATATTTTTCAGTTGTTTTTTTCATCATTTTACAAAAATATCATTCACATAAGAAAGCATGAGCATGCGTAAAAAACAACCAGATATACAAACCCCATTTGTTGTTTGTCCTGTTTCCCTGAGCGTACAACCCTGTTGTTTTGAAACAGTCCTGTTGGATTTCTCCAGGGTTCCCAAGAAAATTCAGCTCAGGGTCCACTTCTGATCCCACTGAAATCAGTGGCAAACCTGCCAATGACTTTTATTGGTTCAGGACACTCCTGACTGAGGGACTGGAAGGGTGACAGACTACCTGTCCTTTAACTGGCTGTTTTGTTTTCTTCTAGACACCCCTCATCCTGCAAAAGAGATCCTATACTCATCTGAGACATGCAGAACTGTGCCTGCTGCTGCAGCTTTTGTCACGTGTAACCACAACCATATAGCCACAACTGCTGCTGCCACCAGTATGGCTTTGAACCAGGTCAAACCAGAGCCAACACCTGCACTGAACTGCAACTCAGCCCACCCTTTGCTGCACATCAACACACTGTACGAGGACCATGAGGAGGAGGTTTCAAACATAATGGACAATGGGATTCACTCACCGACTGACACGGGGGAAATTCTCTCCATCCCTACCCCAAAGCAGATAAGGTTGGCAACGTTTGACGAGCCAATGGCAATCGTGAGCTCGGTGGAGTACTGAAGGCCCCAGGCTGCCCAGCTGGCCCCTGTGGCTGGGCCCGAGACCACTGCAGTGCAGAACATGGTCCCCCCAGCAATGCAACTCACTGCATGAGCATGGAGAGTTTTCACACAGACTGTAGCTTCTGCTGATAACACCAAACAGTTTTACAGGATCACATCATGAGCACTGTCAGTTATTTGCGAAATAGAATAAAGAAAATCTGGTGGATATAGACCTTTAACACTAAGACAACCACTAGCTCTAGCTCTAAACTATAGCTTCCTGATTTAAATGGGAATTAGCACAATTTATGAACATTAGGAGTCTGATGGCTTGCCACAGCAATTTTAGTGAGTGTTTAAATCCTTTGCATTCAGAATTACTGATTAAAGTTAAAACAACATGGAGGTGAGGTATACTTTTTTAATGGCAGCAGTTAAATAAGAGTTCTTTTCTAAGCAGAGAGGATTTTTTTTTTTAAATTCAGGATTTTGAAAAAATTATATGCAAGCAAAATTTGGTTTTGTTTGTTTTTTTAGCTCACTGATGTTGGGCTTGATGGAGACTTAGCTGAAAGGGCCTTACTACCACCAGCATTTCAGTGCAAAAAGATTGATACACTCAATCTCTTGCATTTATAAATGAAAATACCTGAAGTATGCCCCGCCCTTTAACATGCTTATATGTTTGATGGAAGATGATTAAGAGTTTATTTTTTTAACTATATTTTACCATGGAAAAAATTACTTTATTAACTTTTCAAACCAGGTGTTACTTTTAACAAAATGTGTAGAAGAGAGTCATTGTAGCTGCTTATTTTTTCATAGTGTATTTATGAACCAGGTTAGAAACTTTCATGGGTGCTTCACTGATACGAAAAATCTTATGGAGGTCATTACAAAATATCTTACAAAATATGAAACCAGCAAACCTGTTGTCAAATAACACACAGTTAAAGTCTATGAATTTAGTTCTGCAGATTTGGCTAGTCCTTGATTCAGCAAACACTTAAGGCCATGGGTGACACCGAAATGACTCGTGTAAAGCTAAGCACACACTGAAATGGCTTTGCTGGATCCTGGCTCTAGTGCAGGCAGACAATAATCCTGCGGTATGTGCTATCACTCTGATTCAATATTTGCCATCCTTGGCTCAAAGCACATCTTCATGCCCATCTTCCTATAATTACGGTATGTGTGATTTAATAGAAAACTATAGTATAACTAAAACATCTATTAAAAGTGTATCATGCAATAACCATTCTCAGCAAAATTATAGTGAAACAAAAAGTGACTGTGTTAAAATAATATTCCTAGCTGCATTCAGAATTACAGACTGTGTGTGTTTGCTTCAAAATTATGTATAATGGTAGAAAAAAATATGCAGCACAAATATGGGACTGAAATCTTGAGTTTATTTTTAATTTATTACCTCAGACATGCATATATTATACCAATATTTAATGAAAATAGCACTGAAAATAAATACCTATTATTCTGAATATTTTAATGTGTACTACTTCGTAGCATAGTATTACAACACACCTCTAAAGCAAGGTAACCGAGATTCTTGTCAGTAGATCCCTAGGGCTGGATTAGAGTGAAATGACACTGAATGACCTGTGTATACTTATGAGGCAGGTTTATTTTAAAAAAATTTGGTTGCAACGGAAAGGAGGTAGGTAGCCATTTTGGTTCTTTTCTATAAAATTATAAAATTATGATGAAGAAAATACATAAGAAGAAAGAAAGAGAAGGAAAGGACAAGAATAGATAGTGAAAAGATGTCACCACCTATGGATCCAGCAACGAGACTTGATCAGTGCAATTTCAATGTCTGTGTCAGTCATCATGGCAGTCGATCCATTGGGGTTGGGGCCCACACAACAAAGAGTTTGACGGGTTACGTACTTTCAGGCTCATGTGGGAATGCCCCAGTAATTCCCCAGGGGAGGGCTTTTCTTCAGCGATCTTTGGTGGTTTGTGGCCCCTTCTAATGACATGGCCACTGTTTGGCCCTTCTAACTGTTCCAGTTGTGCCTCCTTCCTTAGGGAGGAATACCTTCAGGCTGGCATGTGAATGCCCCCTCCCCCTCATACCTCCCCTGGGAGGGAGTTTTACTCTGTCAGCCTTATCAGGAGAGGGGAAATTGACATGATAAAAAGGATTATCCCTGCTCCACAGGATCTCCTTCTTATCGACCTTTTCCCTTACGTGGCAGGAAAACACTTTGTTTAAAACATCAATCCTGGTTTATCAGGGAAGTGATAGCAGGGCTCAAGCAGCCCATCCAAACAAAGTTCTGTCCATCACACTTAGTTACATACAATTGGGATTTTATGATAAGCAGTATGCAGGACATGTGATTCACATAATGTAAAGCCACCATTCCCCCTTACATCAGTTGTGCCCAGCCTTTTTGGCCTGAACAGCCCAATACCAAAACAGCAGCAAGGCACAGGATGCATACTGCAGACAGGGAAGGGGGGTTAGGCACAGCTGGAGGACCTGGCAATAACACCCTGAGGTCTTGGAGCAGTGTGGCATGGAGCTAATGGGGGACGTGGAGTTCGATCCAGGGCAGCTGGGAGATGATGACTGCAACGGCTCCTACTGGCTTGTCTCCTTTCAGCCATGGGAAAAGTCACCCGTGTGACTTTTTAAATAACAAATCTGCACCTGCATAGTCAGGGTCTTATTGTACCCAAGGAACAGGAGGAAGCTTCCACAGCCAAGGAGTGAGGCATCACCTGTGATGGGACTGCAGGCAAGGTCTCTGCTGCCTGATGGGTTACTGCCAGTCACTCAGAGTCACCCGAAAGCAATGGCACGGAGTCTGGAGGTGAGTAAAATGCCCCACTACATCCTATTCATTTAGATGAATACTGTAGTTAGAATTCATTTTTTAGACAAAACCATTATAGTTCAGGACTTCAGTTAAACACCAATAAATATTTAGAAAAAATATGGAAAATTGCCATATGACAATCATGAAATTCTTAATAAAGGCAAAGTGAAAGAATAGGACCTGGAGGCCAGTTTTAAAGCTATGTAACTCCCTTATACCATTGTACTTTCAATTGCCAAAGGCAGTGTGGTGAATTTCTTCCTGGTTGCAGCAGCTCAGCTGACGATGTTACAAATGTATGGGGGAATCCTTGAGGTTGCCTTTCCACTATCCACTTGGTACCATTAGGTACTACATCAACCATACAGGTCTGTAGCTGAAGTGATATACCAATATATGCACATACCAGTGTCAGGAAAAGCAGACCGTCTCAAAACTAAGGATCTGAACTTGAAAATGTTCAAGTTGAAATGTACTTTGAAAATAGCTATATTCAATAATTGGAGGGAATTTCATTACTGAGAAAATGCAGAGCCAGATTCTCAGGCATGATGACCTGATGAGGCAGAAGAGTTGCCCACTAAGGTGTTCGTGTTCTGTATTCATTCAAGAGCAGGACTCAAGTCACTGTCATTGTCTGTGATACTGCTGGTTGCTGGTTTCTATTGATTTAGGGTCTGTTGCTGCCCTCGTAGAAATCAATATTGTGTTTGACTGGACTGACTTAAAGAAAGAAAGGAAACCATATGGTTTTCCTCATCCCTGGGACAAGTGGAACTCACAGAACACCCACTTTACTCATCCTTACCTGTTGTGTTACAGGAGCATTTGCACCATCGTCTTTCATAAGGCTGCAGATGTCGGGCACTCAGCTCTGAATGTTAACACAAGTAACTACTTGATAAGGGCAGGATGGTGGCCCAGACACGGTGTTTCAACGACCAAACAAGTAGGGAGCAAATGCAGCTTCATCTTGGCTGATGTGGGGTAAATATCTGATGCAGGCACATAGCAAACCCTGCCTTGCTGAACTGAAAGGAAAATTTTTGTGTCTTACCCACCAAAAGGGACTTACCTAAACTGAATGACCAAAGACAAAGAAGTTGAGATAAAGCCTCATTTTTAAATGTCTCTTTAGCCTGAATTGTATTTACATCTCCATCTGCCTTGTCTCTTCCTCGCGGTTTCAGCTTGACAGATCCGATGACTCACATTCTTCAAGGCTGTTTTCCCATTTATTTCACAGGAAATAGGACTGCATGTTGAGAGCACAGAAACCCTTTTCTTCAGGGTGCTCATACTCAGACTACATTTGACAACCAAAAAGGAGAGACAAGTGTGTTAGAAACATCTTTTGAGCTATATTTAGGCTGTGCGAACCCAGCAGGAGATCAGCCGTTTCTATCTCACAGCAGCTAGAGAAGTGCTTCTGTTGGGACTTTTTTAATGCAATAATGATTTTTAGTATTGATGTTACTAACATTTAGCTGTACGGAGTAAATGTACACATAAACACACATAGATTTATATATACACATAAACACACATAGATTTATATATATTAACTATATACCTACAAATTGTATATATACATGTAAATATGCATAGAAATGTTCATCTTCTGTACTTTGCTTTGTAAATAAGCTGTACTTAGTCATTTCTTTTCATTTCCCATTATCGTGCAGTAGGCCCAACCCATCAACATTATGTGTCTTTCTGACTCCACTGGGATTTTCTGATGCTCAGCATGCCTGTGAGGATGCTCTGGTCCTGCAGAGTTAGGTGTGCTGGGTTGATACTGTCAGTGAGTCAGGCCCTGATCTTGGGAGCTGAGCTGTTCTCTGCGTTGTACTTCCTATGACTCCTTGGCACCAAAACCCAGGGCAAAATTTATCTCTGTGCTGGGGACTCAGTCAGTATAGCTGACAGTTATTTTGTGCATCCTTTGTGTCTCCCGAGCTGGCTCCCAAAGCCAGTGTTGGACCCAAAGCAAGTGAAGCAGAGTGGAAGCTTCTCTTGCATGTCCCAGCCACCAGGTTATCTGCCAGTTAAAAGTACAGCAGGGTTAGAGCTCACAGACTGTAATAGAGACTGCACTGAGGGAATTTCATCTCCAGCTTTAAGCAAGCTTGTCACTGCCCTCTCAGGCTTGCATCAAAGGGAGCACTAATGAAAAGCTAAGTCTGAGAGCATGAGCCCAGGTTCCTAAAGCCACCGACTGAACGAGAACTGGAGACAGCCTCAAACGCACTTGACCTAGCACTGCATAGGGGAAAATTCTTGCCTTCATATCACAGTCATAGAAGAATATTAATAGGAATAGTGAAAAACCAGCTTTAAGCACAAGAAAGTGAAATAGTTTGTCCCAAAGCTACTCAAGCTATGTCTAAACTATCTAATCTAAAGATAAGAACACGCCAATGTCCTACCTGCCATCATAACCAAGTCAGGATGGTTTTGGGTGCTGCAGGAAGGGTTTCTGAATTGTTGGCCTATTAGAAAACACTTTTTTTTTTAATTCTATCAATATTGTGGAATATTGATCAAGGAATGTTTCACTTTAAAGAAACAATGTGTTTTCTCATTAAAATCATTCTGCTAAAATACATGCCACAGAGCACATTGGGAGTTTTAAACAGAACAATAATTTTGAGACACCTTCCAATATTTTCTGGCTGTTAATGATGAATATTTCACTCTGTCTGTAAACAGACTGTAACTAATGGCAAAACATTCTATGTACTTTATTTACAAGTCACAAATCTTCTGTTTTTGCTATTCTCTGAACAGTTTTCAAGTGTCTTTAGCTGTTTTGCAACAGTGTACAAACAAAAATATTGTGAATGACTGCCACTCCAGTGAGGATCTCAGGGCTCCGTGAGTCAGATTGAAGGAAACGTTGGCCTGACAATCCTGTTGTCCTCAGTGGTTTTTGATGCTTCTGACTTTTAATGCTTTACTGACTTGCTATTTGTTCACAGAATGGATTTGCCTGGAGTCAGAGCCAGCTTTAACTGAAAGAAGTTGTTGGGCCTCCTGCTGCACTCAAGACCAAAGATGTTTACTGACTCTTGCTTAACTAATTTTTCTTTATAATCACAGGGCTCATAGCAGTCACTAGTCTAGCTTTCCACAAGCACATCCAGGGAGAGCACAGACTACAGTAAATCCCTGAAATAGGAATGCATGATTCACATGCAAAATCTGATGTCTTGCATGAAATGAGACAGAAAATCACCCCATAACCCACTGCACTGCAGATGGTTGCCTACAAAGAAAAATTACATGCTTAAAAGATAATACCAGTTTTTGCTCTTAGAGCTTTTATACCATGGCAATAACCCCATGGCAGTTTACCAGTTACTGCTCTGGAATAACAAGCCTGTGCCCAGACCCTGGGGTGCACAGCAGAGAAGACAGATGGGTACATTTTGTTGCTGAGGAAAAGAGCTTCTGAGAGCAGTTCAGGAACTTCTTTTGCAAAGTGATGGATGTGTTCATCCATGCAAACTTGGAAAAAGGATTTAACACAATGGGGGCTAAGAAAACTATGTACTATTTGTCCTCTAAGTACAGTCCTGCAGACATCACATTGGCAAATTTATCCTGTTATTGGAAGGGCCTGCACAATGTAAAGGAGTGACTAGATGTCT